TGGCATGATTCTCTTTTTATTAATATATTTTTTATTGATTTCAGAGAGGAAGGGAGATGGAGAGAAAGAGAGAGAAACAATGAAGAGAGAGAATCATTGATCTGCTGCCTCCTGCATGCTCCCCACAAACCTGGGTTTGTGCCCTTAACTGGAATTGAACCCAGAACCCTTTAGTCTTCAGGTGGAGGCTTTATCCACCTGAGCCAAACCAGCTAGAGCTGACATGATTCTAAGTACTGGGGACAGATTACTGATCAAGGTTCCTCCTCTTATGATGTGTACATTCTGGAGGAAAGAGTCAGACAAAAGGGAGAATCATCTCATGTATCAGGAAGGGAACCTTCCCCCTAAAGTCTTTTTCTTCAAAATCTTCCTCTTTTCTCAGGGCTGACTTTGCTCTCTAACACTTTCTTCAGCAGCCTCTCTTCCCACAGCCCCTGGTCTTGCATTCCTGCCCTTGTAACTTTTTAATAGACTATTTAACATGCATACAACTTTGTTGATAGGGTTCTGCTTTGTCCTGCTTTGCACATAGATATTACCACCTCCATTACTTCCCTCTAGGCAAGGTCTACTCTGCTTCTGAGTGCCTTGCCCATCAAGCTCCATATTTTGAGTAGGTTCTTCTGCTGCAGATACCAGCCCCCACCTCTCACCTGAGATCCCTTGAACTAATCTCTCTTCCTGGGTATTATTTCCAGGGAAACAACTACAAGCAGCAGCAGCAATTGCTCTGATGAACTGTGAAGTCCCCGAGTGCCTTCTTTCCCACCCTCTTCAGCACTCGGGGATTTGGAAGTTTGGGTTCATACTTCCTGCCCTGCTGCCCTAGGTGCTTAGAGAAGCATTAAGAGCAGCTTGATTGGCCCTATAATACCTGCCTTTGTAATCTGCTTTCACCATTATTGGCTGTCTGCTCTTAGCTGGATAATCAAGCCTCTCTATGCCACTATTTCCTAATCTACAATATTGGGAAAATAATAGTACCTTCCTTCCAAGATTACTGTCAAGGTTAAATGAGATAAACCAAGCAGAGCACTTACAATGCTTACTGGCTAATTTTATTCTTAAAGCCATTGCATAACAACATGTATAATTTATTTTGTCCACAGTACACACACACACACCACACACATACACACTCAACAGTATCCTATATAATACTCACGCCCTCCCACAAGATAGCCATGCCCATATGATCACAAGAAGGCTGCCAGCAGGAGAGAGCAATTGCAGGGGGGACCAGGCCTGCAGGGGAGAGCAGTTAGGTATGACCAAGCCAGCAGGGGAGTGGTTAGGAGTGATCAGGCTGGCAGGCAGAAGCAGTTAAGGAAAATCAGGCAGGCAGGTGAGCAGTTGGGAGCCAGCAGTCCCAGATTGTGAGAGGGATGTCCGACTGCCGGTTTAAGCCTGATGGCACAGGGCCTTAACCAGCAGTCAGACATCCCCCAAAGGGTCCCAGATTGGAGACAGTGCAGGCTGAGCTAAGGGAACACTCCCTTCCAGTGCACAAATTTCATGCACCAGGCCTCTAATTCAATCATGATACCTAATAAATTGCAAAAGAAAGCATTTCACAACATATCAAAGCCTTCAGATGAAGAAAAAGATCTAGTAATCTGTGCTTTAAAGTGACGTATCCATGCAATGCTCTTGAAGCAGCTGGGTTCGGTTCTTGGTAGCAGAACCAACTTGACCTTGGGAGTGGAGAGAGTTCATCCCCTAACAGTATACAGAGGGCTTTTAAGTTCCTGAGCTCCTTTAGTCCTCCCAACTGCACTGTGAGGTGACCTTATTACCCCAATATTGCAGATGTAAATGAGGCATGCAGAGGTTAGGAAATTTGCAGAAAAGACACTAGTCACAGAAGAACAGAGTCAGGTTGCAATCCAGATCTTCTAACCCAATGTCTTTTGATTCCCAAACACTTTCGCTACTTGACTATGCTGAGTAATAGACCCATTTCACTGTACCTAGTTCAGTAACTAAAATAGGTAATTAGATCTAATACCAAGAAGTCTTGTTAATCATTCCACAGTTATCAAGCAACTCATAGGTGTGGCGAGTGGGAGTTCAAAGCTAAAGGAAAATCCATCTTTGCCCTTTAAGAGATTAGTCTGTAAAGGAGATGATGTGGCTGTGAGCAGGACAGATACTCAGGAACTCTTACAAGGCAACATACAATCTTATGAATTGTAAGCTGGTGCCAGTTCACACGTTGAGGTCTCTGGGTGCTTTCAAGTCAATTGAATGTCATAGTTTACTTGGTAGCATTTGTTTTCTTTCTTGGTGGCACATAAAATACAGTGTCTCTTATAATCAAAGGCATCTTAGAGTCAAGGAAATATAAAATGGGCTCGTCACCATGTTGTTCCCTCAGCGCTGGGCAGGAGCAGCTGGAGTTGGGCTCAGGAAGCACCTTTGCAGCCATGACCGACTGTCTGGCTCTCCTCGGTGCCCCGGCTGGGCCAGGTCAGTGCTTCCCATCAAGAATAGGTCAGATCTCTTGATTCAGACCTCAGACCAACACCGTCAGTCTGCACCGAAAGCCCAAACCCCGCTCCTCTTGCTGTTGATCCTGATGAGAGATTTAACCAACTCTCACTCTCTCTCTCTCTCTCTCTCTCTCTCTCTCTCTCTCTCTCTCTCTCTCTCTCACACACACACACACACACACACACACACACACGGGGAGAGGAGAACTAGTATTTGCAGCAATAGATCATATATTCATAAAATTAAACTAATCATATTGCTGCTCTATACGTGTGTGAGAGAAGGAACACATTCACTCAAAGAATCTTACTCAGCAATGGTATCTTACATTTACAAGTTGTAAGCGTTGTCTAATAACATTTAATTTAAATATGGAAGTTACAGAGCTAACAAACAAGATGACCAAGACTGTGACTTTGTGATTAAAAAAAACACTTGAATATTCTAGAAATTGTTCTTTTCCTAGGAAAATGGAGAATGAATATATATATATATATATTCATATATATATATATATATATATATATATATATATATATATGTAATTAGCATCTATTCCTGGTTCAGGGGCAAGTTTCCTACAGCAATTATGTTAGATATTAAAGATTAAAATTAAGGGCAAAAAAAAGAAAATATAAAATAATTAAATGGCCATTTATTTTATAGCAATCGCAAATATCTATTTGTCAAAAAGCAAACCTTTTTTGTATGCAGTTAATTAAGTTAATATCTGTTACCACAAAACTAGAGGTTATCAGTATCGCCATTATTGATCCTCACTGCCTGGCTCAAGTTCAATGTTCCCTCTCTTCAGGCACGTACAGCAGGAAGTCCCTCAGCCTTGGTTCAGAGCTGAGAAGCCTTGGTTCTTGTGAGAAGAATAAACAAGATAGCAGGAGTTCAGACAGAAGGACCTGACCCAGTGTTCCTGGAGGCACAATAAAAGTTGTATTGTTAGCTGAAACCAGTTTGGCTCAGTGGATAGAGCATCAGCCTGCGGACTGAAGGGTCCCAGGTTCGATTCTGGTCAAGGGCATGTACCTTGGCTGTGGGCATGCCCAGGTATACAAGAGGCAGCTGATTGATGTTTCTAACTCTCTCTTCCTCTCTGTGAAAAATCAATTATATATATATATATATATATATATATATTTTTTTTTTAAGTACTTTCAAAGAAGTCAGATTTCAAGGCATGAGTCAGAGGGGGAGATGTCCTAGGAGGCATCAGTGTGGCAGAGTCAGGAATATACAGAGGATATATGTGGACAGTTAGCAGGTGGGGCGAAAGTGTGCAATAAAAGTGTGATGGACAGCCGGGACCGGTTTGGCTCAGTGGATAGAGCGTCAGCCTGCGAACTGAAAGGTCCCAGGTTCGATTCCGGTCAAGGGCATGTACCTTGGTTGCGGGCACATCCCCAGTAGGGGGTGTGCAAGAGGCAGCTGATCGATGATTCTCTCTCATCGATGTTTCTAACTCTCTATCCCTCTCTCTTCCTCTCTGAAAAATCAATTAAAAAAAAAAACAGTGTGATGGACATTGACACCAGAGTGAGATCCAAATCCTGCCCAAGCTGCACACTGGTTTTTGACCTTGGGAAACTCAATTATTTTGAGCTTTGAGTTCCTCCCTAGAAGTAAAATATTTGTTTAGTTGTGTGAGTAGAAATTATACTTGCAAAAACCCTTGGCAGGGACAGTAGGCACTCAGTGAATGGTAATGGCATTGGTTAGAAGATTTAGAATAGAAGGAGTGAATGAACAAAGCCATGCTTTGAAAAATTAATGTAGAATCTGTGATTAAAACAGGTTAGAGGGGAAATACTGCTAAGTACAGAGCTAGTTAAGATGCTTTTTTCAATCATCCAGAAGGGGGAGTGGGGGAGAGTGACAAACTTAAGGATATCTGTCTGTGGAGATGTGGCAGTCATATGTTTGTGGGGGTGAGGGGGGCTGCGGTGACTAACAAGACTGTGAACCTGGAAGGCGCAGTACCGGCCCTGGACCTGATCGAGCCTTAGGGCGGAGACTCAGAAAAGCATGCAAGGAATGGAAGGGTGGGGTGGAGGGCGGGGAAGAGAGGGATGCCCTCCAAGTTTGGCTCCCAGGTACAGGAGAGAGGCCACAGTGGTGAACAAAGGTGGGAGAGGTAGGAAGTTCTACAGCGTAAATCCTTTTTTAGAGGAGGGGGGCGGGGCGGGGATGGGAGAGAGACAATCAGTTTGCAGACAGACATCCCACAAACCAGTCAGACTCAGCGGAGAAGGCTGCCTGGGGGACTTCCCCAGGACCTGGAGCCATTCCAGGCAGAGGCGGAGTCTTCCCGCCTCTTCCCCGCCCAGTGCCCCGGGTCGTCCCCACCAGGCGCTGTTCCGCAGGCGGAGCCCGAGGCGCCCCGCCCTCCGGCCCCCTTACACGCCGCCAGTTTGCACTGGTCGCCCCCTGGTCACCCGGTTGCCACCGCCACCCCACGTCCGCTCGTGTGTCCCGATTGCCGCGGCGACACCATGTTGGGCATGATCAGGAACTCGTTGTTCGGGAGCGTAGAGACGTGGCCTTGGCAGGTCCTGAGCAAAGGGGCCAAGGTAGGCCCGCAGGGCGTGCAGGGGGCTGCGCCCCGCGCACCCTGGAGGGGCTGGAGAGGGTTCTGAGGGGGCCGGTGGGATGGAAATGCGCCCCAGATTGCGCGTTGTGGCTTCTGCCCTGGACACGGCCCTCCATGGCCCAGCACTTGGGCTGGGAAGGAGGGGAGGGAGAGGTCCGGTGCCGCGGGGCTCGGGGCTCTGTTGCGGGGAGGCCGGCGAGGTTGGTCGGCGGGGAGAATCCCAGCTGGGCGAGGTGGACAGCGCCTGTTGAATGCATCTATTTGAACTTTGGTTTGCTGAGAAACTCTCGGTGGCAGAAAGGACTGAAAAACTGCTGTCCTTAAGACACATGCTTAAGAACAAGAGAGTGGTAAATGTGCAAGGCCGGAGCACAGGGGAAAAGCAGTCATTCCCCCTGGGGGTGGGGATGAGCCTTCAAGGAGGAAGTGTGGTGGGCTGGGCCTCAGGAATGTGCAGGAGTGCACAGAAAGGAGAAAGCATGTGCAAAGGCCCAGTAAAACTCCCAGAGTTGGGTACCTACAATTCAGGATGAGTGAGTAGGGCATAATTGCTGTGTTCCCCTGAGACTGACGTCACTGCTAACCCAGGCAAAAAAAAAAAAAGGACTGTCCCCTCAAAACAAGGAGTCTGCCACTAGATGATCATTTCCTTGCTGACAGGTGCTTTGGGCCCTTAGTGGCTGTATACTCAGCTTCCAACTCAGTGCTTCGTTTGTTAAAGGACTGTGTTGTCTGGGGGCCAAGTTCTGGTACCTAGTACAGTGATCATCACACAAAAGCCCTCAACTGGATTCTGGATTCTCCAAGCAGGCAGAGCCAGAGGCTGTCACCTCACCTGTCGGTATTTGTCTCCTCAGCTATTGGATGAGCAGTTTAGCCCTGAACAAGGGGGACATTCAAATGCCTGGAAACTCAGCCTGGTGATCTCTAGGGTCCCTGTTGGCTCTAACACTTGAGGAACCCACATGTTACCATCAGCTCTCAGAGAGCTTTTCTTTCTGGAGTGGAGTCTGGCTCACTTGGTCTGTTTGGGTTAACAGACAGGCTGATGGTCTGGGCTGGTCTGCTGCCTGTTTGCCCTCAGATCCCTTCCTCACCCATTTCCTGTTCCGCTCTCTGTGTCTGCTCATGAATTGGGGGCTGACCCCTGTGGGCTATTTCCCAGGCTCTCATAGAGGTTCTCCCAGTCAGAGGCACAAGTGGGAGATGAGAGGGTCCAAGGAAGGGAGAAACCAGGGTGTTTCCCTCTCTCCTTGTCCATCCTGTCACATTTCTGGTGCAAGGTGCTTCTCTGTGGCTCTTACTAGACAAGTCACCATGGTTCTAGCTTCCAACAAGTGATCCAGGTACCTGAACTCAGGTAACAGATAATCCTCCTTCTACCTCTACGAAGGCACTTACTGACCTCTGAATTGCCTTACTGTCCACTGTTAGGTATCTCAGTCCTTTATTACCTGTGAAATCAAGTCCTTGAATTAAGATGCTTCTGTTAAAAATACTCCAGTAGTTTCTGCTTCCTGTTTGACATTTATTGAGACAGCATCACCTGCCCCTGATCTGATGCCTCTAGAGATAAATGCAGCTGCCTGACAAGCATCTTCCCTCAGCATCTGCTGGGCATATGGGGCAATATGGGATATTGTCACCAGGTCGAAGCAAATCATTTAACCTGAATGAACCTCAGATTCTGTAGTTGTAGAATAGGTATACAAATGCCCTTCCCATCCTGATTCCAGAGCTACTATAAATATTAAAAATTTTAAAAATATGAAAATATTTTGTAAACTAATATACCCTACACAGGTGGTTATATCATTATGTCAGAACTCACCTCATTTCCACTCTTACTAGCCGTGTGGTCACAGGCAACTTTCTTAACCTCTCTAAAGCTAATCATGAGAGAAAATAATGTCATAGCTTATAAGATTGCTTTGAAATTTAAATGAAATAACCAATTATAAGTTTTTCAACACACTACCTAGCATTTGGTGAGGGGTGGTAACTGTTAGCTTCCTCTTTGTTTTATAGGTACTTTTATAGGAAAGTTACTTAACCTCTCAACCACTCTAAATCCTAAAATTCCACAATTATTGGAATGATAATATCTGTGTAACAATTAAATATTCAGATACTTGTAAACTTACCATACATATCAATATATATACTAATATATGTGTGTGTGTCTGTAAATATATATATATATATATATATATATATATATATATATATATATATATATGAAAATCCAGGGTATTATAATTTTGAAAAGAGCCTCTCCCTGAAATTAGCTCTTACCCTCAAAAGAGTCTGAGTGAGAAACTATTGTCCACCCTCCTGATGTGTCCCATGTAACTTGTGTTTAGGCTCGCCAGATGTTTAAAACTGATTCCATGCACCCATAGGGGAGGCCCAGGCTGCATCAGACCTTATCATGTGCCTTCTGCATTGCACAGGGAGGGAGGAGGATGCATGATCTCTGTGTTGGGTTGGATGGGCCTTGTGGATGCTCAGAGCAGACTGATAAGAATAACTGACATCTCTATGGGATTTGTGTCCAGCCTGTGTACACTAGTTGGGATCCGACTGCCTGGGTTTGAATCCTGGCTTCACCACTTACTCACTATCACTTGGGCACATTACTTACTTAACCTCTGTGCTCCTGTTTCATCTCAAAATAAAGGTAAAAAAAAAAAAACCTAAAACTAACTTCCTCTCAGGGTTGCTGGAGGAATTGAATGAATGAATCCAGGTAAAATGTTTAAAATAATGCCTGACACATAGACAGTACTCAGTTAGGTTGATGATGATGATGATAATGATGATTAATATTTTCTTATAATGAGAACATTAGCTTCCAAAATCAGCATGTGACAAGGGAAAAAAACTGACCCTGTAGAGGACCTTGCAAATCCCATACCAAGAAGCATTCTTGTAAGGTCTCTGTCTGGGACTTGAACTTGATCAGTGTTCCCAATGAATGTTGAAAATTGGTGTTTGTGGTCATGGGCCAAAATCCTCATCTAGTAATCAATTGAGAGCATGAGCAAGCTGAATATGGGGTGGAGAAAAACTGTTTTCATGTTCCATGTAACAAGGAAATGCACTTAAAAATATTAGACTTGAGAAATCAAATGTGTTAACTGAATTAACTTAGCTGCTTTATTTTCTGCAAAAATATAGAGAACTCTATTTAAATTCATCTCCCTGAAGAACTAAAATCCTGTATAATAAAGAGGCAATATGCAAATTGACCCTCACACCCTCACAAGATGGCTGCCTATTACCAAGCCAGCAGGGGGGTTAGTGAGGGATGACCAAATGAATGAACAGCAGGGTGTGTGTGGCGACCAGGCCAGCAGAGGGGTTAGTGAGGGACAACTGAATGACTGAACAGCAGGCTGCATGGGGTGACCAGGCTAGCTGGGGAGGGGGGGGGGGGCCGCGGCGGGGAGGGGTGTTAATGAGGGGCAACTGAATGACTGAATAGCAGGCTGTGTGGGGTGACCAGGCTGGCAGCGGGGGAGGGGGGGAAGTTAGGAACAACCAGGCCAGCAGGGAGGGGGCCGTTGGGGGTGACCTGGCCGGCAGTGGGGGGCAGTTAGGGGCGACCAGATAGGCAGCCTGGTGAGCGATTAGAAGCCAGCAGATTGTGAGAAGTATGTCCAACTGCCGGTTTAGGCCAGAGGGTTCAGGCTGGGCTGAGGGGACTCCCTACCCCCACCCCCACGCCCACCGCCCATGCATGAATTTCATGCACCAGGCCTCTAGAAGTTTTATAATATCAGTTTTCTCAAACCTAAATTTTCTCAGAGATCCAGTGAGTCCAATGAGAGGGTATGGACACAGAGGCTGTGAAAAGAGGCAATAGCTGCCATAGAACCATCTTAAGACATTGTAACGGGCTTCTCTTTGGGATAAATATAACTAGACAAGATTCTCATCTCTCCAGCTAGCTATGGCTATTGTATCCCTTATCATTAGAGTAAAAACTAGAGTTCACTCCACAGCCTTCTTTCCCACAAATAGCATGCCTGCTGTGTGCAAGACGTAGAGCTTAGGTGTTAAGAGATACAGTGATAAACAAGACAGACAATCCCCTGACTTCATGAGGCTGGCTTATGGTTGCAGGCAGAGGTTAAAAACATTATCATTCAGTTATAATTACAATAAGTGTTGTGTTGTGAAAGTACAATGGCCTATAAAAGTATCATTGGGAAGCTGTTTTTAATAAGGGTCCTCTCTGAGGAGGTGACTTTTAGATGAGCAGGGGTAGAAACAGGAATGAATACTCCAGGCAGAGGAAGCAACAGATACAGAGGCCCTGAGGCAGGAATGACCATGGCATTTAAAGAGATAGCACAAGGCCAGTGAAGAGGTGCTCTGGGTGTAGCTGGCAAGGCAGGTAGAAGCTAGGTGGTCCCTGGGCCATAAGAACTTGGTAAATGAAGGCTTGTAGACAGGGGATTAATTAACATGATTGGATTTATATACAATCTTCCATAAATGTTCTCTGGGCAATCTCCTCTTCATTGCAGCTCTAGTTACCCTTTATGCTGATAACTCCCAAATTCCTATCCCTGTGCCAGTCACCTGCTGAGCTCCAGACCAATGTGTCCAGCTGCACAGGACAGTTTGTTTATTTATAGCAAGAGGTAGGTGAACAGACAGATATGGAAGGGCCCTTCCAATTCTAGAGTTATCTGCCTTTGGAGTACAAAGGAAGGATCACTTAGGAAGAAGAGGTTGAGTTAAGCCTTAAAGGATGGTAGACTTTTCATGGGACCTCTGGCTCTCTGCACCAAACTGGATTGCTTGCTTGGCAGCCTTTCTGGGGAACAGGCTAAGTGCATAGATCACCTAATACCAGTGGTCAGCAAACTGCGGCTCATGAGCCACATGCGGCTTGAGAGCTGCTGTTTGCCGCTCTGTTGATTAATGAGTTTGCCGACCACTGATCTAGACTCTCAATTCCAATAATTACAGGCTGTTGCTGTTGCTGGTGATTAAGCCCCTATCCCAGTGGTCAGCAAATTCATTAGTCAACATAGGGGCAAACCACAGCTCTCAAAGCCGCATGTGGCTCACGAGCCGTAGCTTGCCGACCACTGACCTATGCCATTCCCCAGAACTCAAGATTCAGGCTCACTTGCAAAATTCTATAGTTAGATCACACAAAAATCAGTTGAACTAATTTGGGGTAGATGAAACTGACTTGCTGTCAGATCACCATCACTGGACTGATAGTCACAAACCCAGCTCCCCATGACAGCCTCCAAGTTCTTCAGGTGCCGGCCCCCGCCAGACCACCGGCCTCCTCTCTTGCTGGACAGTCATGCTCCCGCCACAAAGAACCACCTGTATTCATCACCATCAATACACTGTTCTTTAACTCTTTCACCCTACTCTCTGGGTTTGCCCTCCCTAAACTATCAGAGCATTTACGACATTGTATAACAATTGTGTAATTCTTCTCACCACCCAACAAGACTGCCTCTGTCATATTGAACACTAAATATGTAGCACCTGCAGAGGTTTTCAATAAATGTTTACTCAATGAATCAATGCAGCAGTGACTGAATGTTCTGTGGGATGATCTGTAAGCACCTCAAAGCCAGCATAACCCACCCAGACACACACACACACACACACACACCCATAACCCCTAAATTAACCTACACAACTCTCTTCTGTGTTCCCACTCTGCCCTTACACTCCTCTCCCCTTAAACATGTCATCATGTTATAAACTGTTTCCTGGCTACTTCTATTAGACCGTGCCTCTCATGAGGTCAGAAAGCATATCCTTTATTTCTTTTTTGTAGCACCTGGGCACAGTGCATGTTCCATAGTTGTTGGCTGAATGAATAAAAGAGGAAAAGATCCTGCTAGCTTTCTCCAGTGAGAACTTGTTTCTCCATTGTAAGATTTCTTTCTTTCAACTTAATCATCCAACCTTTCTACAGAATTTTTAAATTTCTGTTGTATTTTTCACTTCCAAGGGCTCTTTGGCCTCTGAACATCCTATTTTTTTACAGCATTCTGGAGATGATCAGGGTGGTATTGGAGGCAGTGTATTCTCTTATCTCTCTAAGAATACTGATTGCATGAAGTTTTCTCTGTTCTCTCTACATCGTAAGAAATCCCAGAATCTATTTCTCAGGGCCCTTTATATTCAGGCTGTTTTTTCCACCCTGTGGATATATACCCAGGCTTGTTATGGAAAGTTCCTTAGCAGCTTGTGCCTCCTGTAACTGGACTGTTTCATCCAGGTTGCTCCCATCTATCTCATAAGCACTGTGTATTCTCTGTCTCTAGGAAGAAGTGTCCTATGAGGAAAGGACCTGTGAAGGCGGGAAGTTTGCCACAGTGGAAGTGACAGATAAGCCTGTGGATGAGGCTCTACGGGAAGCAATGCCCAAAGTCATGAAGTATGTGGGAGGCACCAATGACAAGGGTGAGTGTCTCTGAAGGATGTGGCTCTGGTCTCAGAGGCAAGCCTTGCAGGGTCTTCACTTCATTAATGGAAAAGACGGAGGGGCCACAGTGCACCTGTCACTACCTGTTTCAGTGACGTGTGAACTTGCTGCACTGACCTCTGCCCAGCCAACCGCTCACTCTGTATATACCTGCTTTAGATTGGTTGGTTTGGGTTTTTTTAATGTTTCTGTTGATTTTGAGAGAAAAAAGGGGAGAGGGAGAAGGAGAAAAACATTGACCAGTTGCCTCCCGCATGCACCCCTACCCGTAAGCTGGGCATGTATCCTGACCAAAATCAAACCAGCCACCTTTCCATGCACTGGATGATGTTTAACCAACTGAGCCAGCCACAGTGGTTTGTGGTTGTGTTTTAACTGTACAGTGCCTGTCATGTCTTTGGATTGGTGAACTCGGTGAAGTGTGCCCAGGGTAGGTCAAGCCACAAAGAGAGAGCCAGTCTCTTACTTGAGATCTTAAGTCCCAGAATGGAAATCTCTAGTCAGCTCCTGGAATCTTAGAGTCTGAGGGGTCCTGAGAGTCAGTGAGTGATGACTATGGCAGATTCCTGACAATGGATGGGTCTGAGGATTCTAAAGCTGCCCCACTCCTAAAGACTGGGCAGTTGGTATGGGCTACATTTTTACTTTAAAATGTTAGGCCTGAAGTTTCCACAGACCTGTTAGCATGTAAACCACATTTAAATATTAATTTAATTCTTGAACTCTCTAATTTCGACTATACTTTGAATCACTGAAAACTTAAAATGGGTCAAAAAGCAAGGTGAAAAAAGAGATGGCATGGTTAATTTTTAGGGTAGTTCTCAAGCTGATCATTTAGAGGCTAGAAAATGGTATTAACCTTAGCTACATTTACTAGGACCGCCGTAATCAGGCTTTGAACAATAAGCTGACCCGTAGGAGGTCAAGAAGAAATCTTTTTCTTCTTAACATTAGCATAACACATTTTATAAGAAAATATGTATAAAAATTATAAAACTCATTAAAGAAAATCACAAAACAGCACCCCTCATCCATCTTTTCTAGGACAATCATTGTTGTCTTTTGAATGTATTTCTTTAGAGCTCTTTAATAGGTTTTTTTAAATATAATCTTAGTGTTTGTGTAATCGTATATCCTGCTTCTGTTACTTATTTCACCACTATTTTCCACTGTTGTGAAATAGTCTTCTTCAGCATAATTATTACTAACTACATTGTATTGCAGCATGTACCTATAGTTTACTAGGACATATTCCTGTTTTGAGCCTATTTATATGGCTCCCAGTTTCTCACAATTATAAATTCCGCTGCAATGAATATCCTATTACTAATAGCCTTTTCTGTATTTTGGGTATTTCCTTAAAATTGACATCTAGATAGGAAGTAAGTAAGTACTGATAATATTTACAGTTTTGATATATATTACTAAATAATTTTTTCTAAGAGAGTTGAATTACTACGCCCCTACTTCCAATATATGCAAATTTGAGGTCTTTTTGGTGTATGAAGTGTGCCCACCGTATTTTTTTGATGCCTCAAGTGTTTATTATTAATTTCGTGACCAGAAAATATTTGTCGTGGAAGGAGAAGGAGGCTAGCAGATTTTCACAGGCCTGAGCAAGTCCTGTCTCTCAATCCCACCTCACTCCGTGGGCTTTTTTGTTTGCAGGAATTGGGATGGGGATGACAGTCCCCATTTCCTTTGCCGTGTTCCCCAGTGACGATGGCTCCCTACAGAAGAAAATCAAAGTCTGGTTCCGGATTCCAAACCAGTTTCAGAGCAACCCGCCCGTTCCCATTGATGACAGCATTAAGATCGAAGACAGGGAAAGCATCACTGTCTATTCCACGTAAGGAGATCATTCTTTAGGCCAGTGTTTCCCAAACTTTTGACATATGTGTACCCCTTCTATAATTTTCGTAACGCTGAGTACCCCTCGTACTCATGAGAACATAGAATTAGGCGCAGTTAAGCACAGTGCAGTGCATATCCCCACCAAACTCCGGTGCAACGCATACCCCCACCAAACTCTTCCTGTACCCCTGGGGGTACGCATACCACACTTTGGGAAACACTGCTTTAGGCATCCAAGGGGATGCTTGAATCATCCGCAATGAGCATTTGCATTACATCTATATTTTTTCCAGCTCTACTGAGATAGAATTGACGTATAACATTGTATTACTTTAAGATGTACACACAATGCTTTGATAAATGATTACCACAATAAGTTTAGTTATTATGCATCACCTGACATAGTTACAAAAATTTTTTTTCTTGAAATGAGAACTTTTAAGGTCTACTCTCTTAGTAACTCTCAAATATACAATACAGTATTGTCAACTGTAGTCACCTTACTGTACATTACATTTCCAGAAATAATTTATCTTACAGCTGGGAGTTTGTAACCTTTCACCACCTTTGCCCATTTCTCTGAACCCCCCACCCCTTATCTGTCAACTACCAATATGCTCTGTGTATTTATGAGTTCTTTTTCTTTTTTTAATTTCACATATAAGTGAAATCATACAGTATTTGTCTTTCTCTGTCTGACCTATTTCATATAGCCCAATATTCTCGAGATCGACCCATGTTGTCACAAATGGCAAGATTTTCTTCTTTTTTGTGGCTGAATGATATTCCATTTTATAGATATACCACATCTTTATCCATTTATCAGAAGATGGATACTTATGTTATTTCCAGATCTTGGCTATTATAAATAACTAGATTCCCGGTGCACAAAATTAGTGCATGGGTAGGGTCACTAGGCCTGGCAGGCGATAAGGGCCTTCTGGCTGCCGGCCAGTGCCTCCCTTCCATGGCTGTTGGTGGGGCCTTCCTTCACTCTGTGCTGCCACCTGGCGGAAAGCACACGTCATAGTGAGTGATCGAACTCCTGGTCTCCCAGTCGAACTAATGAGGGGACACTTTGCATATTAGCCTTTTATATATATAGATGCTGCATTGTACATGGAGATTCAGATATCTCTTCAAGGTAGTAATTTTATATCCTTGGGATATATACTCAGACATGGAATTGTTGGGTCATGCTAAAGTTCTATTTTTAATTTTTTGAGGACTCCATCCCATTTTCCATAGTGGCTGCACCATATATAAATTGCACAGGAGTTCCCTTTTTTTCACATCCTCAATGCTTGTTATTTCTTCTCTTTTGGATAATAGCCATCCTAATAGGTGCGAGGTCACATCCCATTGTGGCTTTGATTTGTATTTCCCTGATGATTAGTGATATTGAGCATCTTTTTACATACCTTTTGGGCTTTTGCCTTTTATTTTTGGCAAAATCTCTATTCAGATCCTCTGCCCTTTTTTTAACCAGTTTGGGATTTTGTTGTTGTTGTTGTTATTGAGTATTATATATACATGTGTTCCAAAATTGTATACTAGTACACATTTAACAGCTGATAGCTCAGTTTTGAAAATGAAATATATTTTAATACACACTGCCTTTATCATTATTCAAAGTGTGTATATACATTTTTGGGGACACCCTATATTTGGATATTAACCCCTTATCAGAATTGCAAATATTACTCCTTTTCAGACTTGCCCCGATCAGATTTAACCACTCCTCAGATTTGGCTCTTACCAAATTAACCCCTTATCAGGTTTGCAAATATGTCCTCCCATTTGGTAGGTTGCCTTTTCATTTTGTTGATGGTTTTGTGGGGTTTTTGTTTTTTGTTTTTTGTGGGGTTTTTTTGCTGTGCAAAAGCTATTTAGTCTAATGTAGTCCCACTTTTTTATTTTTGCTTTTGTTTCCTTTGTTTTTGCTGTCAAATATAACCATTGCCATACTGATGTCAAGAAGCTTACCACTTGTGTTTTCTCCTAGAAACTTTACATTTCAGGTCTTATGTTTGAGTCTTTAATATCTTTAAGTTGATTTTTTATCTGGTGTAAGATAGGGGTCCAGTTTCAATCTTTTGTATGTGGCTTTCCCAGCATCATTTATTGAAGAAACTATCCCATCCTCATTGCATATTTTTTACTCCTTTGATATAAATTAGTTGACCATATATGCATGGATTTTTTTCTGGATTCTCTATTTTATTTCATTGATCTATGTATCTATTTTTATGCCAGTACCATATTATTTTGATTACAATAGGTTTGTAATGTCATTTGAAGTCAGGAAATATGTGAACCTCCAGTTTTGTTCTTCTTTTTTCAAGATTTCTTTGGCTACTTAGGGTTTTTCTTTATTCCATACTCATTTTAAGATTGTTTTTCCATTTCTGTGAAAATTGGGGTTTTGAAAGAAATTGTATTAATCTGTAGATTGCTTGGGTAGTATGGACATTTTAACAATATTCTTACAATCTATGAGCATGGATTATTTTTCCATTTATTTGTTTCTTCTTCAAGTTCTTTAACTAATGTATAGTTTTCAGTGTACAGATCTTTCACCTCCTTAGTTAAATTTATTTCTAGATTTTATTCTTTTTGGTGCAATTGTAAATGGGATTCTTTCTTAGTCTCACTTTATAAACTTAGGGTATTGATTAAGTAAGAAATACTAAGCCCAAATAATTTCTCAGTTCCCTCAGTCTACAGCACACAAATGTTTGCATTGTATCTGAGTAAATACGTTTGTCAGTTGACTATTGACTTGACAAAGAATATCTCTTAGTTTAAACTGAACATTAGCCACAACAAGGTTCTGGGAGACTCAGAAAAAACATAAGTCAAGCTGTAGTTTGGGGTCATAAATACATAGGAGTCATAAAGCTGGGATACCTCATTTTTGCCTCACACTTCCCTAAATGCTGCAAGGGCAGGGAGTATATGCCAGAGCTCTTGGTGGTTCATTTGAGCAGAGCACACATGCATCCAATTTTCATCCTCATCCTGTTTCCAGGGCCTCATCTGTGGCCATGTTCCCATGTCTGTAGTGAATAACAGGTGCAAATGGTTGCATGCTCTTATTCTTTGGGCCCCAGCTTCCCCTTAGAAACCAAGTCTTTTCTAAATAATCAGTGACTGTTTGTTAAAATCTTACAGTGTGATGGGTACCCAGCCATGTAAAGGCAGACACCAGGAGTTTCGCCACTAGTTACCATAGAACAACCTCGTGAAAAATAAATATTCCATTAGTCTTGCACTGGGCAGTTTTAGTCCACTCGCAGGGGGGCCTCCAAACTTAGTTATTTGGCAGACTTGCACCAACTCTACATCTGAGGATGCAGTTTTCTCTGCATGCTGATACTGTGAGCGGGGCTGAACTGGGCAGTTAGTCCAGGAGACCCAGGGCCCCCCAGAGGACACTGAGTGTACTACAGCTCGGCAGCAATAAATGGAGCCACACACACACACACACACACACACACACACACACACACACACACACCCGCTCCCCAACTCTTCTACTCCAATCTTCATTCAGACTCTCCAGCCTTCACTCTAGAGGCTGCAGAGAAAGTAAACTCTAATTAAAGAATATCTTCCCAGTGCAGGGACTAGGGTGGGGAAGTGAGGCGCCTGTGATGCAAGATTTAAGGAGGCACTTACTCTCAGTCCAATCACAGGATTGGCACTGAGAGGGGGTACCTCCTTAAATCTTACACACTAGGTATCTCAGTTTCTGCTCCTCTTCTCCGTTCTATTTCCTCTGTCTTAAGAGCCAGCCTGGTGCAATATAATGAACAGTTATGTTTTAGTATAGTTTGAATTCTGGGATGATGCTTGGGAAGTTTATAAGACTTACTTTCCCCATCCACTAAATACTGATACTATCATCTACCTCGTAGGATTATTGTTAAAGAGTGTCTTTCAGTATTTAGTAAGATGCTATTTATAAGTTACAATAATGTTTATGACCTGTAATAGGTCTCAGTAATAATTCTTTCCCTTCTTATTCCATAAGGAATGAGGTTGATGATTAAATTTGTTCACATTAGACTCTAAGCAGGTGGGCCTAGTTTCTAATTCAGGGGTGGGGAACCTTTTTCCTGCCAAGGGCCATTTGGATATTTATAACATCATCTGGGGGCCATACAAAATTATCAACTTAGAAACTAGCCTGCTATATTTGGTCAAACATTTAATTAACTCACTCCTAATGCCTTGGCAGGGCCAGACCAAATTATTTTGTGGGCCTTATATGTCCCAGGGACCGGATGTTCCTCACCCTTGTGAATCATATGTGTGACCAGACCCACGATAGAGTTGGTACGATTTTTTTTCATTTGTCTTTAACTTTTTAGTATGGAAACTTTCCAACTAATAACAAGACAGCAGGAATAAGATTATGAAACCCTATGCACCCATCACTCACCTTCAATAATAATTAACTCAAGGCCAGTTCTGAGTCATGTGTACCTTCACAACTTCCACCCAGTCTCTGCTCTGGGTCAGTTGTAGGTGAATTCCAGATACTGCATTATTTCATTTGTAAATATTTCAGTGTGACTGCTGAAGAATCTTAAGCAATCAGGCTAACATATTACTCCTAAAATGTTAGCCATCTTTCATTATAAATCATTCAGTGTTCAGATTGCTCCCATACCTCATTTGTTTTTAGTTTATTTAAATCTGGATCCAAATAAGATCCATCCATTCCAATTGGTTGGTACACCTTTTACATTTTTATTCATCTGTACCTTTTCTCACCACCACACCTTTTCATTTTTTCCTGCTGCTTATGGCTTGTTCGTCCTATTGTTTCTCATGGTCTGAATTCTGCTGGTTGCTTTTTTTAACGTGTCCCTCTGTCCCCTGTGTTGCCTGTAAATTAGTAGTTGGAACTAGAGGCATGACTAGATTCAGGTTTTTGCCAGGATATTTCACTGGTGGTGTTGTATTCCTCACACTGGCTCATAACAT